GAACTCATCAAATGACATAGCATTAGGTTTTAAGTAACCTGTGTGTCTACTTAGGTCTTTTCTAGTACAGCTGAGGCCCAAACCAAATTCTCCTTGTGACCTCTAAATAATACCTGATAAAGGCCAAAACACAAAATATTTTTATCCTGGTGACATTGTCCAAGTAATACCATGTCAAGGTCATGATAAACCCCTGGTCATGTCCATCTCTGTGTCAAATATAAGCAGCAGCCAATGTTCTCCCCCAAAGTTATGCTCATGGCATGGCAATCCCTCATCAACACTTGTCATGTAGACACACAGATAAACAGACAGACAAGGCAAACCCTATATTCCATGCCACCTTTATTTGCAGAGGTAATATAACACTAAAAAGGTAACACTTTTATCAGTTCAAGATTAAATTTTATTTCTCAAAGTTAAGAAAATGTTTCATGCATTATTTCATACACAAGACAATTAAATGTGAACGTTCTTGATATTGATAAAACATTACATCTTAGGGATTATTGTTTTCCATTTTTTGTAAATAATAAAACAACACATAAGAAAAGATTTGCTGAAAATAAGTGTCATTGAAGAAAGGATATTTAATTTGCATTCTTTCTTTTTCATTTAATTATAAAGTCTAATTTGATTCATGGTCTATAAATATGCAAGTCTCTGATAAGACTGTAGCTCGACTGGTTTAAGCCTGTAATTGATTCAATTAAAATCCTAACAAAACTGTAGAAGGAGTAACATTTTGAAAGAATTTTACAGATAATTCTACTAATAACCATGACAACACCATTCAATGAAATGAAAAACTGATAAAACAGAATTGTGGGTTTTTATGCAATCTACTAGTGAAATTATTAAATTCAAATCGAACAAAACTGTAGAACTAGTATTGGAAACAATTTCACAGATTATTATAATTTTTGTAACCATGGCAATTTCATTCATTGAAATCAAGAACCATAGTCAGAATTATGTATCTTGATGCAGACTACATATGTACTGAGTTTTATTTAAATGAGACAAAAACTGTAGGAGAAGTAGCATTTTGAAAATTGTTCACACAGAGAGAAACAGACAGACAGACTACACAGACAGGGAAAAGACAAAGGACACAAAGGACACCTTGCCATCACATAAGCTCTTCTGGTCTATGACCAGTAGAGCTAACAACCAGAGGTGCCACAGTCACATTGTACTTGCATGCAGCAAGTGTTTGATTTTAACCCCCAATGGGGAGATATAATACACTGTAACATTTTTCATAACCTACCCATTAGATATGTAACATAACTGTCTTTTTAAACTATAAGTATTTCTAACGTGCATTTGTAATATACTTTTAAAATATAGGCAATATATGCCATACTCATAACATCTTTACACTAATGCACTTCAAACCACACCCCAGGGACAATTGATGCAGATAATTATCATGGGGTATATACTCTCATAATATTTCAATCATGTTCACTTAACTTTTAACAAAAAAAGTTACACATAAGACATTATAATATCATAATGCTGACAATATCATTATAAAATGAATAAAAAAACAACCATAAGGTCACACCTCAGGGACAAATGATGCAGACAGGAAGCAGAGAGTGCATACAGGTATCTACATCTTAGTTAACTCAGGTGATCAAAAAATTAGTCCAAGGAATTTATTTAATTTTTCAGGAGTAACTGTTCCAGTTTATAAAGTTTATCACAGAATCATGTTTGACTGCATGACAAAAATCCTAACTTTGTTAACTCATTTACGTCTCAGCATATGTTGCACTTTACTCTTTATCTGATGAATATTTCTATCAGCAAGAAATTTGTATTTGTTTTTTACTTTCAGTGCTTCTGCATTTCTTGGTATGTTTTTATCTTTAAAGTTCTTATTAAATTCAAATCTAAGGACATTCTCCTCATCCACAGTCCATTTTTTTCTCTTTGATGGTAAAGTGGTGCATGATGGTTCTTCCGACGATTCATTATCAGATGGGACATAATCCTCGTCTTCCTCATAAGAATCTGTAAATCAATTATAAATGGAGTTCAGTGAATAAAATAATACACTTGCAAGTTAAAACAGGTATATGAGGAGAATTGTTTATATCCTCTATCAAGAGTTTTATTGAAAAGCATGTGAAATGGGATAAATTGAAAGTACTAATTGCCTTGAAACTTCCCTCACATAAAATTTATCCTCTTGGATAAATTATTTCTCAACATAATCAGAAACACACTCATTCATACCTTGATCTATTTCTGCATTGAAAGCAACTTTTCTCTTCCTGTTTACATGTTGGTTTCTTAAAAAAAAAGAAAAAGATTTTCAGAGAAGATATTCTTTTTATATATAAATACATATCTGCACTATACAAATCTTTCTTTCACTGATGAAGATTTCAATATCGATATATCAAATAAGAAAAAGCATCACTTCTTTTGAATATTTCAAAAGACATGGAGCACATCTGCCAATGTATATTTAATTAAAAACAAGATGTGTTTGTGAAACACCGATGCCCCCGTATGGCAGCTTATGGCGAAGGTTAAAGTTTCTCAAACGCAAGTCAAAATCCAGGCCAAAAGATAAAAAATGTTAAATTTGAAAGCCCTAGCTGCAACTGTTCAAAAGTTATGGTGATGGTTAAAGTTTTTTAAAAGTAAGTAAAACATCAAGTCAAGGTCAAAGTTGGTGGTATCCAAAGGAAGGTCTTGTCACAAAGATTATATATGTGAAGTATGAAAGCCCTAGCACCAATCATTCAAAAACTATGCCCAAGGTTAAAGTTTTTCAAAAGTAGGTCAAACTCCTATGTCAAGGTCAAAGGGTCAAAGTGGTTGGTATCCAAAGGAAGGTCTTGTCACAAGGATTACATATGTGAAGTATGAAAGCCCTAGCGTCAACCATTCAAAAGTTATGGTCAAGGTTAAAGTTTTTGAGTAAGTCAAACTCCTAGGTCAAGGTCAAAAGGTCAAAGTGGTTGGTATCCAAAGGAAGGTCTTGTCACAAGGAATACACAAGTTAAATATGAAAGTCATAGCTCCAACCAATCAAAAGTTATGGGCAAGGTTAAAGTTGACAACAGACAGGCAGACAAACAGATAAACAGACAAACAGACAGACAGGACAAAAACAATATACCCCCGGGATCTTTCGATCCGGGGGCATAAAAATAATTAAATGGACCTTGTTTGAAAAAAAAATAGCATTTAATGCAAATTTGTTCAAAAAGAAAACAAAATTAATAGTCGTTTTTATCCCCCATAATCAAAGATTCTGGGGCATATATTTTTAGCCTGTCCATCTGTCTGTTTGTCTGCAAAAACTTTGGCCATAACTTTTAAATGGTTGGAGCTATGGCTTTCATATTTTACATGTGTATTCCTTGTGGCAATACCTTTCATTGGTTATCAACATATTTGACCTATTGACCTTGATGTTTGCACATTACAAAATCATTAACCTTGGCTATTACTTTTGAACATTTGGTATTAGGGTTTTCATATTCTACATGTGTATTCCTTTGTGATAAGTCCTTTTCTAGAGTACAAATATTTTTTACCTCTTGACCTTGGAGTTTGACCCACTTGACAAAAATTTTAACCTTGGCCATAACTTTTGAACATTTGGTGCTAGTTCACATCTAACAGGTGTATTCCTTGTATCAAATCCTTCCCTTGGATACCAACAATTTATACACTTTGACCTTGGAGTTTGACTTACTTTCAAAAAGCTTTACCCTTGGCAATAATTTTTGAACAATTGGTGCTAGGGATTTCATATTTCTTTGTGACAAGATCTTCCCTTGGGTACCAACAATTTTGATTTGTGTACCTTAACCTTGGGAGTTCAACTTGCATTTGTGGAACCTTTGCCACTAGCTGCCATATGTCAGTGTTTCACAAACACACCTTGTTTTTTTTTAAACCCTGTTGTAGAAATTACATCAATACAGCATAGTTGGGGAATGCATAAGTTGCCTTAACAGACTGACATTTACATTTGCTATCCAGGATAGAGCAACTGTGAGAGTAACTTAATCCTCTGCAAATATGACAATATTCTTTAAACCAGATGCTGATTTTACACAATTTTATTTAAAATATATACTATCAATTCTCAGAAAATCTGTCGATATTGTATCAAAATATTTTAAATCGATGATACATTGATATTAATCCATCAATGACAGTTCTACTGATGAGCAAATGACAAAAGGTTACTGCTCATACTATGAGGGGTGTCCCAATAAATCGTGTACTTTTGAGACATATTTATTTTTCTTACATTATACTGAAATACTTTTAGATAAGCATGTATATCTAAATTTTTACACTACAAGAGAAAGTCAAATTTTATTGTTGCACATAAAATTTACTGATTTGAGTATAATTTAAACCTGAGTACAAGGGTATGGCACAAGTCCCTGACACATTAAAGCAGATTGGTAATGTGTTACCTATCCTCTTAGCCAGTTTTCCAAATATTACACAGACTAAAAAAGTGATATTTTTAAGTCTCTGTGTCAAATTTTAGACATGTAGCATAATTTAAATTGGAATGTTTTGTATTTTAGGTTCAAAGGTACAAACCCCATTTCAAACTAGGTACATGTAAATGTACTTCCAAATTGATGACTTGTGAAAGAAAGAAGTCAAAAAAGATATTGCAAGAATATAAAATAAGCTACTTACTGGTATGAAAGTCCAGCATCCTGGTCTTCTACTTTATGTGCACCAGTGCTTATTTTCTGTGTCTTGGGAATGGGGATAGGCCCTTTAATATTGACAAATAAAGCAAAAAAATTAATGAAAGTAAATGACTGAATGATAAAACTGTTATGTCAAATTTTCTGATAATTGTTAACTAAACTATACAAATATTTAAATTCTATTGTGTCCGCTTTGATGTTCAGAAATAGGCAACCTTGGGATGGCTGTTGCTGCTCCATGCACCTGCAATTACTCTGTATTTCAATCTGTATTGTGTCACAGTGTCAGTGACAAGTATAATAAATATATTTTCAAACTTACCACAAAGCTCAGCATCAAGAATGTCTTCTTCATTTACCCCAGAATCAATCAATTCCCCATCTTCCCCATCTTCCAAAGGTAGTACTAATTCTGAAAAAAAAAAAATCGACATCATATTAAGGTGTCCCAATACAATATATAGTCATTCCTAATACAACAGAAATTCAAACATGTGGATTTAAGTCATGAAAACTATGTGTAGTTTTAAAAAAGATTTAACAATACTGCAGATATTTAATCTTCATTTATAAATGATATGAATATTCTGGCATCTTTCATACCACACTAACCATGACACACTGACCATGAATGGTTCAAGGTAATTATTAATGACACTGTCTATGCAAGAACTACTTTTGTGTGAAGTATGAAGTTAAGTGTTGCAAAGCAAACATAAATTTCAGGCCTGGAAACAATCTTCCTATGGAAGGATGGACAGACAATTGAATGGACAGATGAACAAGAGGAATCCTTTACACCCCACCTATTAGGGCAAGGGTGTAATAAATAATGAATCTTGATGCCTGCCTAACCATACTTTATCAATATAAGAGCTTAGAACAATTGTTTGCAACAGTTCCATTTTAATTACAGATGCCACAAACTTTCATATATTGATATAACTTAAGTTTCTAATTTATAGGAAACTGACACTAACCTGTTACATCTATGTCAGACAATTTCTTTCCTGCAAATTTTCGTAGTTGCCCCTCATCTGCAGCCATCATGAGACTTCCTACTTTTGCTATCTCGACTGTGGCGTCATGCTGCCTGTAATGTTGCTTGTGAGTATTAATGTTATGTGCCAAATGTCTTGAAACCCATTCAAGCTCGTGGTCTTCCAGATCCAGTATCTGGCACACTGTTGCTAGGTACTTTCTAAGTCTACTAGATGAAATCAGATATGGTTGCTCACAACCAGCCTCTTTTGCCAGCCTGTTCATGGATGTCCAGGGGTCTATATGGTTACTTGCACTTGTTGGGCTGGCAAACACGAAGGGGTTCGATGAGGAGATTCCGCACCCCTCTCTGTGTTTCATGAGACAATCTAATGCAATAATCATTGTTTCAGTGAGCAGAACTGGGCATCTTTTGTTTTGTTTTCCTTGTGTTTCCACCATATGTAGTCTGAAACAAACCAAGTTAATGAACTACACTGCTCACTTTATTCACCTTGTTCTTAAATGTACATTCTAAATGATCAACTTGCCCCTCCCTAGAGGCCTGGACCCCTTACACAGGGGAAACAAATTTTTATATAGAAATTGGGTGCCTAATGCATTTTTTAGCAAGAATAAAGAAAGTGTAAAATTTATCCAAAATTTAATAATTTTTTTTTATTCAGATCAGATCATGATACAGTATATAACTGTTATACAGGTAAAAGGGGAAAAGATTCCAAATTTTTTGCTTTATTTAGTTAAAAGTTTTATGTTCTGTAGGCAAACTAGACATTTGTTTAAAAAGTAACATTTTTAAAACAATATAATATGGTCTTTTTGTGTTTAAAAAGTAACATTTTTAAAACAATATAATATGGTCTTTTTGTTCTTTCCTCAAATATTAAAAGCATAAAAGATTTAGTTAAACTAATTAAAAATTGGAGACAGGAGACAGAGGCCAGGAAATCTGAAATTTTCTGAAAAAAATCATCCTCTAGTTGAAATACAATGCTTCATCAAAATATCTTTCATGAGCCACATAAGTTAAGGCCAAGAATAAACAAGAGGCCCATGGGCCACATCACTCACCTGAGCACATTAGCTAGACAAAAGCGGGGGTCATGATTTGAACAAAAATTGATGTTGACACATTACTTCTCATGATATTGGCTTTGAATTAAAGGTACCCCCATGAAATTTCTCTTCCAAAGAAAGATATTGCCACATTTTACTATAATACAGTTTAAGTTTGAGTGTATATCTGTATTTACAAAGTATTTAAAACAATAATAATATACACCCAATACCTATTGTCCCTAAAATTTATCTTGTTTTACGTAATAAAAAAAACACTTGTCAGTAAATTAGAGACAATGAATCAGAATGTGATTGACCCATTCTCACAAACTGGATGATCTGTTTAAAGAAGTAAGTGTGCTGCAAGTGAATCTACTATTTTCATATACTAGTATTCTAAAGATAATTTTGCATTGTGATTGTGTTGGGTTTGCAGGGGGGGGGGGATGCTTCTAATGTGATAATTATTATTCAAGATGAATATTGCAATGTTTGAAATAATAAAATTTGTCACTATCAAATCGTAGCAACTCCTATTCTTGCGAACTATCAGTGTTAGCTTCAACTTGTCCACTGACAATAGTCTGTCTGTCGCATCGATTTGATACATGTAGCATACTCGTGGTCCATGTTTTCTGCATATTCTAATCAACAGAAATGTCGTTTATATTATATCTTTATTACCTTATCGTCTTTCTGTCAACCAAAATTTATTTCCAGCCTTCTCTTTTTAATTAATTTCTCGTTAAACTGTACAAGCAATGTTCGTAAGTTTGTTGATGCAACTGGCTTATAGCAAAATCGTTACTGGATATTTAAAATGCAGGGTTGGCCAGGAAATACCAGTGGTGGGAATTACCGGTGGTAAATACCGGTATTTCCCGTCCCGGTAAATACTACAAATTTTCTCTAAACTGGGAAATACTGGGAAATACAAAATTTAAGATTTTTATTTCTTTAATTCATTTAATCTCAGGCAAAATTCAGATATAAAATGAACATAAAAACAGAAGATGAATAAAATTAAATATGTCTCAAACTGCAATTTAACCTACTTAGTACAAATCACTACTCCAGGTCCACTACACATATAAAGCATTCTGTAGCAGAACATGTTTCCCTGATTGTATTTTAAGAACAAAACTGAAGTTTTCTAATTCAAGTTTCATTTCAGTAATTAAGTAAAATTATAAAGTTTATTTATTAATTATAGATCCAAGAATACAATAAACTTGTATTAATCCTTCTATAAACACTGTATTTTTAAAATCAATCATGTTGTTTTAACAAATTGATTCTGGACAGTTCTGTGATCCTGTAAAAAGTGTTTTGAGAGATAATTACACCTTGAGTAGACCTGAAAAGCTTCTTCTTAGGTTTGATATTTACACTATATTCTACACTTAACAATTTTCTTAGGTCCTTCTTGTTACACAAAAAATCCAAATGGGATCAAGCATGAAACAAATGACACTTGTGACTGGGATATGAGTATACTGTGATATGATTAATTAAAATAAAGTACTAGGAAACCAGAAATTCTTATATCAGGGACAGTGATACCTGCAGGTAGATATCTTAATTAGTTAATAAGGTGTACTGTACATATTGAATGGCAATATAACTTATGTTAGTCACACCTAAGGTCTGTAATATAAAGCAGATGTATAGTTCCAAACAAATATGATTAAAGTTATAAAACATGAAGGTATCTCTTATTTCCCGGGAAATACCAGTAATTCCTGGGAATTACCAGTATTTCCCACTGTCCTGGTAAATATGAGTATTTCCCACTTTTTTGCCAACCCTGTTAAAACGCCAAGTAAAAGTCAAACCAATATAGTTAAAAAATCACATCTTGGAAATAAGAAGTGTAGATCTGTTCATTAGTGACGTAGTGTGAGTATTGGTCTACTTTAATACATGTATAATAACATTTAAGGAGGCTGGGGGTCAACAAATTAACCATTAATTAACCACCAGATTTAACTTAATTTTTTAGATATGATATCTTAAGCTGTCAACTATCATTTGGCAAAGAAAAATTTCAAAAATTTTAGTTTTAAAATTTGATCATTTTCTATATCTTCATATGGAGCTCTTCTTCTAAAGGAGATCAATATAGTCTAAAAATGGCCACAACCCCCCAGCCTCTTTAAAGTGCATCTATCCAGGCTTAAAATAATATGTTTGATGTCAATTTTATACACTGAATTCCTTTCCATTTCTTATTCATAAATTTCTGCTCGTACAGTTGAGTCTGTACTTGCACATAAGCTAGGCTTATCATATTTGGCAGATAGGTGAAATATAATATAAGATAATGTGTCACATACCATACAGACCCACATATGACTTTGCCCTTAAGGTCAAATTACAATATTTTTGTATGTCTTTTTACCCCACAAGGAACCCATGGGAAGCCCAAGTGAACATGATATGGTTATAATTTACATGCTTAACTACATTAAATGAGCATCTATCCATGTTTAAAATGGCATTTGATGAAAATTTATTGTTTTGAATTCCATTTTCTGTTCATTGAGTGACTGAGAACTAATCTACCCACTTAATTTATGTGCAAATTGACTAAAAGAAACTGATTAATATGATTTGACTATTTTAAATTATTTTACAAACTATCAGTTCTCAAAAAATTACGTTTAAATACTTAATTAAAATAAAATAATAATGCTGAGTAACGTATTTTACCTATCTTAAACCTGACTGAATAACGATCCCAACCCAAAAATGAACTGAACCGAACGTGGATGGAGATTTTGCATCGTGTATCAAACCAAGTAAAAATACCATGAATACCACGGTTAATCGATACTGCGGTGAACCGTTTCACTCCTGGGCATTTGGTCAACAGCAAATCAATCATAGAAACATTATTTATGAGCATAATGAGATGGAAAGACTATGGCCTAACTAGCATAGGGGTGAATCAAATTGCCACTCTGCCACACCCTCGGTCATCTTAATAGGCATTAGCAAATCGTAATGCAATGTACAAAACTAGATTTACAAATCACTAATTGACACATTGCAAGTCTTAAAATTACAAGTGCTGCATTAACAATTCTTGCATTAGATTTTACATTTTAAATAGTTGCAATAAGATTCTGACATTTCCTCACCATTATTTTGAGAGTCTGAATGACCAAGAACAAGAGCATTCCATTTTAGATTTTTTTATTGCAAAAGTGTAATGTCAATACTCATTTTGGTGGAATTTTAGAGGCAAAGACGTAATCCTTTATGTTTTCCTAGTTTTAGTTTTGCAATGATACTCTATTCTCCAAATAAACCTGTAATTGTACAGATCTCTGAACAAAGCAAGGTTGAAGGTTTCTTTTTAAAATAATTTATTGACTCTAAGTCTAGGTGTTGAAGCACTGGTATCCTAAATGCAGTCAAATCAAACTAATTTCAATTTACATGCTTAAAGAAGCATTAGGTTAATTTCTAGCAAATCACGTATTACAGAGTTTCATTTCTATGTTAATACAAATTGTACATTATTGCTGTATGTCGATTTCTCTATGTTGCTATAAGCAATGTGAGAATAAACTGAATTGAAAATTGAACAGACTTTATTTACTGCACATATCACCATGATCACTCAATAGCTTTCTAATCAATGGCCTGTTACTCTTTTAAAAGCCATAATACAGAGTTTGAAATTAACAGTTGCCCACTCGCAATTTGCGACTAATGTTCCATGTGGGCGACTTAAAATTACGTTCAAGTTGCCCACATAGCATAAGAAAATTTACGATGATAAATATTTGTTTTTCAATTTTGTCTGAATGTTTTGTATTTTTCTCTTGAAAAATTTCGTAATCAGTAAAGTGCTTTATAATTATCCGTAAGAAGTACTTATACATAAAGCGTCTAAGTGATTGTGTTGGGCACAATGTGGCATCGACAGGTTATTGAGCCCAAGAAACCAAAAAGTACTGTTGTTTTTTGTGAATGAAAACGTGCCATGTGCTCTATTTATGATATTGAATGATCATATCAATCTTCATAAACAGAAGAGTTCCACTTCAAATTTAGATAAGTTGTGCGTAATGTTACAACGGATAGAAAAGAAACACGAAGCACATGATAAAAAAAAAAAATGGAAAATGGGGTTTTTGTTTTTATATTCAGTAGAAGGTGTTATAATCTGTGGGCGAATAAATTTTGATGTGGGCCCCAGAATGCAAGGTTCAGTAGCCCACATGGCTATCAAGGATTACAGGTTAGTTTAAAACCCTGATAATACATGTATTACTATTAGTTTCTTACGTATGTTGTTTGTATCATTAATTATTACATCGTGAAGAACCGAAACCCTCTAAGAACCACTATTATTCAACTTCTTGTATTCATAGAAGGACGCCTTACTTTAACTCCCAAGTTAATCGTTCATTAATTTAGGCAAAATATTTCAAAGCATAAAATTGATTTTCTTTGCGTAACAGCATAATTTTATGGTAAAAATCAGAAGAATTACAACAAAAGTGGAATGGTAGGCAGCTTTACGTGTTTATTTTGCGAAAAGAGCAACTGAAACTGGGAGAAAAAAGCGGTAATTTTTGACAGGGGAAAGGGGTAAGGGCTGACATTCAGACCTAAATTGGGTTTAGAAAAATCACTGCATGGTGCATATGAAGTGGGAACCCTAGTTAGCAGTAATCTGTGGATTTTATTTATCCTGTTCCCAAGATAAAATATTACAAATTTCAAGGGAAGAAGGAGACTTCCATAACATAGGATACTTTGTGCCAAATTTGGCTGAAAGTACTCAGCATTTCTTGAGTCAAAGATGAAGATGCAAAATTTTTAGGTCATATATACATTTAAATATATATAATATATATAAACTGATACAGAGAGCAAGACAGATGCAGAAAACAGTAGTTGGACAGAAAAGCACAACTTAGCCCGTGGCATTTAAATGACTCAATAATTGAGCTAAAAACACCTAAATTCTTCTGTAAAATAATGCCCATTTTTTTTTAGAAAAGAAACAATAATAGGCTATACCCTCAGAATACACGAGTCAAAAAAAATTCATACCTCTTCAGTAAGATCTTCTCCATTGGCTTCAGACCACTTGCTATTTCTTCATTCATGGTTTCTTCCCAGTTTTGACGGTTTTCATAACTAGCACACAGAAGTTTAGAAACTTCACTACTTCGCCGTTTGTTAAAAAGGATAATTCTAGTCATAGCTGCTCCAGCTAACTTTTTCCAGAGGGTAGCATTTTCTCCTTCCTTTTCCAAATCTTTTGTCAATTCACTTATTTGTTCATCCAGGTGGTTTTTTAATAATACAAGGTCACTGGTTACAGGGAGTGCCAAAGGCTTATTAAATTTATTTGTCTGCAGAGTAGCTAAAGCTACAGATGATACTGCAGGTGCCCAGTCTGAGCTATGAATTTCCAAATATCCATCACATTCTTTCTTCATTGTTTCATCCATTTTTCTTATGGCATTGCCTCTTCTGATTTCTGCAACCTTCACTAAATTATGTCCAAGATTTAACGCCAGAGATGGAGTAGAAAATACAGATATTTTCTGCTCATTCTGATGGTAACCAGCCAAGTCTTGGACTGCTTTAACAACTGTATCAAAGTGCTTTGGAGTGATATAACAATGTAGATCATTCTCTTTATTCAACAACTCATTTATTTTGGTTTTTAATCGGGCCAGTTGTCTCATTCTTTGTGAAACATAGTTTGTTCTTCTGGGTCCCAACTGCTTTATTAGCACTTGTCCAAACTGTATGATTAATGGGTCATCAACAAGAGCACTGTACACCTCGTCTTGGCGCATTTTTAACAAAACAGTTTCTTTCAGTTCTTCTGATACACAGACTCTGAAATCTTCCTTTTCTGCACAGAAATCTATACCCCCTGCAAGTAAAAGCCTGGATCTTGCGATGATGCCTCGTTGGTCTTTTAATTTGGTGTTCTTAAAAGAGCATTTTCCTGTATGCCTCCACAGTTCCTTTTTAGAGAAAAATCCATAACAATGAATGCATGGTAAGTAATCCAATGATGTCAGGGTTTCTTTGCTTGGTCTTCTGCACACTATTAAATCTCCACTTCCTTCCTTGAGCACTTCTATGTTGTATTTAAAATTTCCTAGATTTTTAAGTTTATCAAACAACCTGTCTCTTTCACGCTTTGAATTTTTGGCACAGGCCTGAGCAACCATAAGTTCATGTTTGTGCCCATTTTCTAGATGCTTCTGAATCCTGTGGTTGAACACTTTACCACAAAAATAACAGCATAGCTTTTTGTTATATGGTCTCCTCCCATTGATTTTCCGAATTCTTTTGACTTTGACTGCAAGAAGAAAAGATAAAAATTCAAATGACCTTCTGATTTTTATTATTTGCATAATTTACTTTTGCAATTGTCCACATTTAATAAAAACACCAAGTAGTGAAATTACTTTTGCAAGGATTTAATTTTTGGCACTTTTTGTGAAGGTATAAGATTCATCATCAATGTTTTATATCACTGTAAATAAACCTATTTCCTGAACCTCTTTGATTTTTGCATATAACTTTGATGGTCACATTTGCATAAATTGGGAAAATAACTGGGAAGAAAGGCACTTTTTCTAATCAAGAATGGGTCCAAATTTTGGACTTAAATACTTCATATCACTATTACTTAACTTAGTGGAACTTTTGTGCACTGAAGGTAGGAACTGTCCTTTAGATGGGGACAGTATGCTGTTGCATACACAGCAAGATTTAGTGACTGTAGATATTCAAGGATACAAGAAAAAAGTCCTGGTGAAATATCTTGCTTAACATTCAGTGAACCATGCTATTAAAATTCAAGAGGAGCTAGTCCTCTGTATTACATTTTAGTTGACACTTTTCTCTAAGCCAAATCAAATTCAATCAAATTCTATCATTTCTTTGTGATAATCATCACTTTTGCAGCTGTTTTGGAAGTCGATAAAATACTAAACATTCAAAATTAGACTACCTACTATCTGAAGTGCACCCTGGGCAAATACATTGTTCTTTCAGCATACTTATTGTTCGAATCTGTTTATCGTCAATAGCCTAAACAATTTTATGCCTCAGAAATCTCATGAGATTAAGAGCAGCAGTAAGTTATAGATAAGTGGGAGTTATCACGACACTATGTATTGGATGGATTGACAGGCCTAATTTTTGTGATCTTGCATGCAGCCATTCCAGATAAAAGTCATTTTTTATCAACTTATCAGAAGACATGGCAGCTAAGTAAAATTCTTTTCAATCCAAAAAATAACAACACTTCATAGAACCTCTTTAGGAACATTCATGCCAACTTTAGTGACCTGGCATGCAGCAATTCTAGAAATTTTCAAATGTATAATTTAAATAATAAAGGACCCCGACAATGAGAGATGATGGTTGTCAAGTGATGTCAATAACTGACAATGGTCTTTGACGAAATAAGCTAAAAATCTAAATACATGTATTTTTTCCAAATCTTGTTAAAATGTCAATATATTCTTTTTTAACTCCAAACATATGATATAAAAAGCATACCTTTATTGTTCACTAAACGATGAAAGGGCTTTCCTGAAATGTATAATGTAAATAAATAAATATGCAATGACAAGGTAACAGAACGAGAGAACAACAAACCATTGCTAAGTTGAAAAGTGGACAATATAATTGACTGATATGCTCTTATACCAAAAGGACAACATACTGACATATTCAAAGGCCTTGATGTATTGACATTTTGATAGATCCACCTACTGAAGGACTAGTTAACTATTGTAACATGAGCAAAGACATTGAAAATATGTTAAATTTCACATCTTTGCTAGCCAAGGGTTTCGGATACGCTACTCTCCTCATAAGCCCTTGGCATAAAGTGTTAAAAAAAATTGGGATTTTTTTCTCAAGTTGTGATTGGAGTTGATCGACATCGCTCGACCAATCAGCAATTGTTTTTTGAAAATGATGATATTTACATTTGGGATATATCTTGTCTCTTCAATATCGGGAATGAAAAACTCAAGTAAATAACGATCCATCAGATAACATGCCATTCTATGAATAGCTATATAGTGTCACCCAATATCTTAGCTACGTGCAAAATATGTGATTAAGAATCAATACTGAAGATGTAGATTAGCATTTTAATTTGTTTAAATAGCAAATTAACATAACTCAATACCTTCTTGTTAATTCTTCTTTAAAAGCATTATTTTTTTAAATACACTTTTTATTTCTGTCAATGACGCAATCTGCGTACCTGGTAAGAATCGCGATCACCAGTCTTTTGTCAGCACCGTATGCCAAGGGTTCATGAGGAGAGTAGCATATCTGAAACTCTTGGCTAGCGAAGATGTAAATTTCAATGCAAATGCAAACATTCATTTAATCATTGAAAGGTTATTTTTTTACTAATCTGCATTACCCACAAACAAACTGAACTAGTAAACTGACAAAGTCACCCAGGGCCCTGCAGTAAGTGCAGATTAATAATTTCAGCTTTTGACTTGACCTCTGACCCATGATCACAAAACTATGTGTCTTCTTTTAATCTTCCTCTATCTTTGCAGTGAATATAAGTCCAATGGTTGACAAGTACTTGTCTAATGAGTAAACATGTCAAATACTGTAAAATCACATATTTTTGGGAGGCAAATTTTTGAAGTTTGAGAAAAAATAATTAATATGTGGGGATTTGATTTCATGGCTGGAGAAGTGTTGAGTAATAATGCATATTAAATTTTACATTTCGTAGTGGTCATGAATTTGTGGGTCTCTCCATACCTTGAAAACAACAAAAATTAAATCCCCGCGAAAATTAGTGATTTCATAGTAAGCATTTTAAAAAACTGACATATAACTTGACACTGATTTAGTGACCCTGAAATTTATATGTTCTTCCTTATTTTCACCATACTCTATGCATGTAGTGAATATGAAGTCTGGTTGAAAAAAACATAAGTTAACATATCACAGAAGTTTTGACAGGCATATTAACAAATACACAATACAAGTTTTGACCTTGATTACTGATCTTAGTCTTCCTTTTACCATCTTCTACCTATTAAGTGAATACAAAGTCAGTTGCTCAATAGGTACTCATTATCATGTCTCATAAGTGTTGACAGACACATCAATAATCTAGATATTAGAACTTGACCTCTAACCTAGTGACTCCATATCTCTATAGGTGTCTTTAACAACTTTCTATCTATGTAGTGATCACAAAGTTAACAGAATACAATGTACTTGACTTATATTGTCACACAAAAATATTTTTGCAGGCATATCTAGGATCTTGACTTTAGATCTTGACCTTTGACCTAACAACCTTATAATCTATGTTTTATCCTTTACCCATTTTCTATCTGTAATGAACACGAAGTCAATTGGTTGAAAGCTACTCCAGTTATTGTTTCAAGTGAGTGCTGAGTGATGTGGAAATCTTGATTATTGGCCTTGTGACCCCAAAATATAATGATGACTGCCTTTCATGGTGGGAAGGAGACATAATCATATCAAACTACTACAGTAACTGTAATAAACAGACACATACCAGCATCAGCCAAGTCCTCAACATCCGAAAATGCAGCATCTGAGTCCTCCTTAAACATTAAAAATACACAATTACTATAGTTACTGCAGCTAAAACATAACCGAAATGAAAGATCCAATTTATATAATACAAGAATATAAGTAACATATTAATTTTACTGATTTCTTTTTCTATCATTATTTATTTAAGAAATAAGGTATCATTTTTAAACATCTATCGGGATATAAATACGGGTTGGTCACGAGATCAAATTCCATAAAGCCTGAAGGGCTTTATGGTAAATTTGATCTCGTACCAACCTGTATTTATAGCCTGATAGATGTTTTAAAATGATACCTTATTACTTATATTTACATTTGTGACTTATTCATATTTTATATTTGCTTGATTATAATCTTTAACGCATGAAATGTTTTATTTTTCAAACCTAACGGCACGTGTTTGATCCACTGATTGCGCATTGACCCTTTATGACGTCACTGAGAAATAACGTCGAACGTTTATGACGCGAGGAACCCGTGTTTATACGGATATAGATACGTGTTGCTTTTAATAGTGTTATATAAAAGAAAACATTTGCAAATGTAAATATTTAATAATAACTTCAACATAATTTTGGTATATAATGTCTTTCTACCGTAATATACACATGTATAAAAAAGCTTAATCTAACTGTTCCTAGAAAGACCACATCAACAAGGAACTCTAAACTGTTTACCTTGGTATAGATAAGTTCATTTCCACATGCTCTCACAAACTGACCAGTAATGGGACATAATATATAACTGTCAGATTCCTAAAAATTATGAATTAAAATTTAGATACACTACATATAAAGGTATATAGAATACTGTTTTAATTTTTTTTTCCAAGTATGACAGTATTATACACGTTTTGAAGAAGCCAACAATGGAAATCCTGTACAGACAATTACTATTTGACCATTCTTATTATGCAAATGGAAATTAGTATTTTATTGACATTCACAACAATTTAACAATTATCCCTAGTATATAGCAATTGGAATGGCAGAAGGATGTATTTCTTTTTACAACAAAAATATGAGTGTAACATGAGTAAAGGTGGAAGGTTAAGGTCATCTAACTTAAGTATGATCAAAGAAATTTTGCCAGAATGCCACTGTGTATAAGTTACTTACAAACATAACTGATGGTGTTTGAAAAAATGATGAAATTTATATACTCTGACAAAGTGATTCATAAACCATGAACATGCATATATACTTAAGTCATCATATGTATGCAAAACAGTGAACAGCAAACAGAATCATAAATGTATACATACTGACTGACAAACCATAAAGAAACACTCATAATTGTATTCACAATCATCTATATCATATATTTATACTTATACTAATCAAAAAAACATAATCAGACACATTTGCATTTAAAAAAAATCCAAATCCAGTAATTGACTTTCTATAAACATGATGATGACCTAGTGATCAACAATCCATAAACACATGCATAACTGAACTACCCTAACAGGACTTCAAAAATGTTAGAACAATCTACAACAGTGACCCACAATCCATGAACAGACACAAATATGTATATATGACAGTGACCCAAAACCATGAGCATTCACATATATATATGAATAATATGTATGCATATACAAAATGTCTAAACTCAGAAACACAAAAAAAAGTCATGAACTACAGGAAAAATGTAAGAACAAACAATCTACAACAGTGACCCACAATCCATGAACAGACACAAATATGTATATATGACAGTGACCCAAAACCATGAGCATTCACATATATATATATGAATAATATGTATGCATATACAAAATGTCTAAACTCAGAAACACAAAAAAAAGTCATGAACTACAGGAAAAATGTAAGAAAAAACAATCTACAACAGTGACCCACAATCCATGAACAAACAATCTACAACAGTGACCCATAATCCATGAACAGACAAGCCGTGAAGTAACACCAACTAAAACAAAGCAATACAAACACTCATTTTTCATAGACACAGTGATTATATGGAACCAACTTGACAAAGACACAGTGTGCGGAAAATCTGTCGAGGCCTTCAAGACCGCCCTCGCCAAGATTTGTCAATAACATCGATAGCGCCTCTCTCCCGTCGTATAAAAGCCAGTATTGGTTACCACGACATACCATATACAGATACAGATATATACACAAATGTCTACAACCAAAGACACAAAAAGTCATGAACAAACTAAAGGAAAAATATTAGAACACATAATCTATGACTGTGACCCACAATCCATGAACAGACACAAAAATGTATATATGACAGTGACCCAAAACCATGAGCATTCAAATATATATGTATGAATATATACACAAATGTCTAAACTCAAAGACACAAAAAGTCATGAACAAACTACAGGAAAAATATTAGAACACATAATCTATGACAGTGACCCACAATCCATGAACAGACACAAAAATGTATATATGACAGTGACCCAAAACCATGAGCATTCACATATATGTATGCATATACAAAATGTCTAAACTCAGAGACACAAAAGTCATGAACTACAGGAAAAATGTTAGAAAAAACAATCTACAACAGTGACCCACAATCCATGAACAGACACAAACATGTATATATGACAGTGAACCAAAAACCATGAGCATTCACATATATATGTATGCATATACACAAATGTTTAAACTAGGGATGTCAACGAGTACCCGGTTAACCGGGTACTCGGTTGAACGTCCGAGTATCGAATACTAAAAATGGTACTTGGTTTGTTTTCTTATGTTTTCTTATTTCAAAGTACATATTTTTATCAAAAACTTATCAAAAAATAACTTAAATATGCATATGGTAATTAGCTTGTCGTCATCTACACCTGTAAAACACATGTTATCGCCTGTGGTTGTATATATACGGTAATTATATAATGACCAATCATCTGGTACACAGCATTTTTAACACTTATTGTGGTCCTTAATTTTTGGATGGCTTCAATGATTGTTTTCAGTAAACAATAATAGTATGGTCTATTATCTTCTTAAATTATTTAATATACACATGTACGGCAGCGAAGTCAGACATGAATAAAAATGCCGCTACCCACTTCAAAAGTGAAGAAATATTTAGAAATAACTAAAGATTTTAAAAATGTTGAAAGTCAGTTTGCGTACAAAGTTTAGTGGGAAACAACCAACATATGAAATAATAGTAGACTAGCGATCCCAACAACGTCCTTTCCTTCCCTTTCGCTAGTCTAACATCACAAACCTGCGTAACAGATTGTCTTCTTTTTTTTGCGTTGATGAAATAGGTCCTAAACAAGAACTGTAAACCATTTGTAATTTTTGATGTATGAATTGTGTCTTTTGTGTTTATCTGATAAATAAATTTGGTACCAAAAAATCATTTCCCTTTGACTCAGTTGTTTACATACATTTATAAACGTGATAAAAACAGCTTTTGGATTTAACAGAGCTTAACCAGGCTCAAGAAAATTAACACACCTGTATTTTCATTTTTACCGAGTACCCGGGTACTCGATCTGAAAAACATCTGAGTAACCGATTATCAAAATTTGACCGATTTGACATCCCTAGTCTAAACCCAACGTTACACACACAAATCATAAACTACAGATAAATACTGTAAAATGTTATTACAATAACAGTGATCCACAATCAGACATATGTACAGGTTTATATGAAAGTGACCCACAAACTATGAACAGCTATGGGTCAACCACTAAACCAATATATGATTGATTCCTATCTCTCTGATTGGCTGAGATCTAACAATGTAAAACAAAAAAATATGTTGTTTTAACCTGCATGTGACCTCCCAGGTGAATATAAGGATTTATTTTCTCTACATTAGTCTAAAAATAGATCCAGAAATAGTTTTGGAAATATTTTCCTTGCACTGGACTTCCACTCAAGTGAACATAACATTAAGGAAAATATTATTTGGGGTGGGGGTGGTTGCGCAGGGTGTGGGGGGTGCAGGGAACCTCACCCAAAACACTTTTTTCTAAACATAAATGTTCACTTTTAATTTAGACTGAAAGGTTGATCCCACAATAATGGACCTTATTCCCCCCGGACCCCCACCCTAATACAAAATTTGAAGTTAAAATAATTTTCTTTTAGTGGGGGTTAGTCAAAGATTTTTTTTCAGCTGTCTTTTTTCCCTCATAATGCTCCCTCCTTTTCAAAATCTATCCTGTATAAAAGAGCCTGACATTTCCTTTTTTCATAGCAACTTAAGTCAATTAAAAATATTCCAAATGAATACAACTAGTAATTAACCCTGCTTCTCTTATCGTGTTTTGTATGGACTTCAACAAATGTAAACAAGTAAGATGGCATGTACTGCTTAATGAGTTGTATCATTTAATCACTGAATCATATAATAAAACAATTATTGCTGTTTTTTCGGTCAATACGATGATTTATCCACCTTCAAAGTACAATATTCACCTGAAGGGAAAAAAAACAGCAATAATTGTGTAATGTTTGTCTCCTGGAGAATGTAAATACACAATTCAAGCTTTGATAACTTCAATAGTATTTTTCACTTTATACTGCAGAGTATACAAAAGCTTAATTTTGATCGGGATTGAGTTCCATAAATATTAATGCTTATAATAATATAATAATATATAATAATAATAATAATAATATAATACTGAAAAGGACAAGCATGAAAAATACGATCTGTATCTAGCAATTTGAAAATGATTTTCCTTCTTATTAAGCAGGCATCATGGAATTTCACAGAATGTTGCATATTGCATAACAAACTTTAACCAACTATGCATTGCAATGTTCATTATAGTGTACCAGCAACATTTATTGACAATTAGAAAGGGATTAAAAAACTTTTTTGAGACAGTCTTGTGACCTTTTGTTTGGGGAATTTTATGAAAAAAATGTATGAAATTGGGAAGTTATATTTTGGTAGAAGGCTAACTGCTCATGATAATCATACAAACAATATGCCTGCTAGATGTTCAGGAGTAAGGAAGAAACTTTTTGTAGATCACATAAATCTTTATGGTTTTGGACCCATCCCTCAGCCCCCATGGATGCAGGAATCATAAAATTAACAATTTTTGTTTTTCTTTATCAAAAGATGCCAAATACTCAAATTGGTTGAAAATGGTTCAGCCATTTCATAGAAAAAGATGTCATTGTCAGAGAGATCCTATAACATCTCAAGGATAAAGACTGATTAAAAAGTTGTGACAAAATATGAGTGGAACAACAAAGAAATAAGTAACACATTACCTTCACTGATGATAGTTCCTTCCAGACAATGCTGATGCTACTATCATTAGAATCTTCTACATAATATTCTGAAAAAAAAAATATGTAGAACAATCAGTTTTCAGATGGGATCCTCTCAAGGAGAGATCATGGATCTACACTATGTGGTACATGCAAAACTGAATTCTTTTCAATTGAAATCCTTAAGTCATGTGTTATTAAAAATTTCCATACTTCAAAATAAAAATAATACCAATATTAGTCTTTGGAATCTGTGGGTCATGTACATGTGCTGCAACAGGGTTTTCGTCATCCTGTGGAATGTGTGGTATATGTTCATTTGTTGCAACAAGGTCTTCATCCTTCTGCGGAACATGTTCATGTGCTGTAACTGGATCCTCATCAGTTTCCACCTCCAGACGGTTCTCTGTAATATATGCAACAAGAATTTATTGGACTTAAGAGTTTAGTTTACAAGTTGTGTTTGTAAGAGTCTTCATACAATTCTAAGTATAGTAACAAATACCTGTGCTAAGCTGTGCAAGATATGATGCAACATGGTCCTTGTCATTCTGTGGAACATGTTCATGTGCTGTAATGGGATCTTCATCACTTTCCACCTCCAGACGGTTCTCTGTAATATATTCAAACAAGAATTTATTGGACTTAAGAGTTCAGTTTACAAGTTGTGTATTGTAAGAGTCTTTATACAATTCTAAGTATAGTAACAAATACCTGTGCTAGGCTGTGCAAGATATGCTGCAACAAGGTCCTTGTCATTCTGTGCTAGGCTGTGCAAGATATGCTGCAACAAGGTCCTTGTCATTCTGTGGAACATGTTCATGTGCTGTAACGGGATCCTCTTCAAGTGATCCATCAGTTTCCACCTCCAGACGGTTCTCTGTAATATATGCAAACAAGAATTTATTGGACTTAAGAGTTCAGTTTACAAGTTGTGTATTTTAAGAGTCTTCATACAATTCTAAGTATAGTAACAAATACCTGTGCTAGGCTGTGCAAGATATGATGCAACATGGTCCTTGTCATTCTGTGGAACATGTTCATGTGCTGTAACAGGATCTTCATCAGTTTCCACCTCCAGACGGTTCTCTGTAATATATTCAAACAAGAATTTATTGGACTTAAGAGTTCAGTTTACAAGTTGTGTATTGTAAGAGTCTTCATACAATTCTAAGTATAGTAACAAATACCTGTGCTAGGCTGTGCAAGATATGCTGCAACAAGGTCCTTGTCATTCTGTGGAACATGTTCATGTGCTGTAACTGGATCCTCTTCAAGTGATCCATCAGTTTCCACCTCCAGACGGTTCTCTGTAATATATTCAAACAAGAATTTATTGGACTTAAGAGTTTAGTTTACAAGTTGTGTATTGTAAGAGTCTTCATACAATTCTAAGTATAGTAACAAATACCTGTGCTAGGCTGTGCAAGATACGCTGCAACATGGTCCTTGTCATTCTGTGGAACATGTTCATGTGCTGTAACAGGATCTTCATCAGTTTCCACCTCCAGACGGTTCTCTGTAATATATTCAAACAAGAATTTATTGGACTTAAGAGT